AGCACCAGGAAGTAGATTGTGCCTTTTTCTGTAATGTGCTCCCCTCACTCATGTCGCCTTTCTCCTCCAGTTACACAGCGATTGTTTTCACTGCTGATGCTATATTATATTGTGAGTATGCCAAATGGCTGCTTAGGCTTCCTGAACGCTGTGGAGTGTTGAGGGATAGAAAATAGAGCAGTGGAGGCAAAACAATCCAGGATTCAGCAATTAAAGAGCATCTTGCCCTTAGTCTAATTTGGTTGTGTCACATGTACATCTTTGAATGGTCGTGAGAGACCACCAAGACTGTCCATGCTGGTTCAACTTAAAGAGGTCAAAGGCATAAAGACAAGATTATTCACTATAGCTTTTTTCATAGAATATTGATGTATGCATATGTGAACTACAGTGTGAGATATTTGCAACTGTTGGGCTACCTTTTTTTAAATGCAAAAGCAACCCCTTCACAACACATTGACATCAACATTGGGGAGCATAAATAAATTGTGAATAAAATCTACTTAAAGCTTAAATTTACAAGAGAGTGCGCCTGAGCAAAGCTGAGTTGCAAGCTTACGCTGATCTACTGCACAAAGCAGCATAGATTAAAATGACATTGTATCTGTTCACAAAGGTGGATTAGTGGAAAAACAGATTTGAATTACACTCTATTATAATTTAGGTAGGCTTTAGACCTAAGTAACGCCTTTTCCTACATTTGTTAGTGGAAATAGTTTTACGTACTCAAAAGCAATTTATTATTCATTTAGCACATTATCGTGTCCAATTATTCCTCTGACATGCTTTATGATGACAGTGGAAAAGGTTAAATTGCATGTGGATTCATGGTATCAGGAGTGCTATTAGTTACACCTAGTTGGCATCTTATCGCACCCCTTCCCGCTGTCTGCAGGGATTGCTCATTTTTAAAGGAGATTTGCATCAAATCCAAGTAGCATTTTCTATGACACTCTAATTGTACTGATGTCTGCCTCTCCCAAAAGGTCAGAGATGTGATGGGATTTCATTTGGAATACTTCAGTGTGATTAACAGGCTGGTAGGGGAAATGGAGGTAATCAAAGCAGGAAATAGCTCCATTCTGCTTTTATTTTAGTTTGACTTTATGAAAAAAAAAATGTTAGGACTATTTTCGAACCTTTGTGACTGTTCTGACTATGGTTTATACATAGATATATCACAATGTCATTTATAGATGCAGCTTTGGAATTTTAGCAAATGTGGATTTTAAACTTCTAGTCATTTTCAGGATGTGGAGCTCCATAACCCTAACCCTGGACATTGTTGTAGCAATTTGTCAAACAAAAAAATAAAAATAAAATAAGGTGATCTATATTTTTCTCAATATAACCTACTACAGAAATATTACCAAACAACTAGGTAATGTTCCTCCAAAATACAAAGGCTACTTGCAACATTTTCCCCTCAAAAGTACTTTATATTGAGCTTCTTTTCCAGCTGGCTAATTATTCTTTCTCTTGCATTACAACATAAAATAAATGAGCACTCTTTCCAATTTTACTTCACTAAAATCGTTGAGCAGTCACAGTATTTATAAAAGTAGAATATTTCACTCCAGTAAAAAGTGGAGAAAAGCTTCCTTTGACTTAATATTCATTATGTACATGATTAATTACCATATAGCCTCAAACTATCAAAAGATAGTCAAAGATATCATATTTTACATGTATTTAATTAGTGTGCACTTTGAGACCTGTGCCCTGGCAGGCCCAAATACTGAACTTTTTATGGGAGGAATTTCAATTACATGCTCTCTTACTAGGACTAGGTCTATGCATAGAAGAAGCCATTAGGGCTTTTTCAATTGATCTCACGAGATGCCCAAGGTTTCACTGATGAGAAGGAATCAGAGTCACACAATCCCGTAGACGTCCCTGCTCCACAGCTCTAAAATTAGGGAGATATATCAGAAAGATCAACACTTATGTCAACATTGTTTCAAAAGAAATATGATTTTTTGTTTTCCAGTGCTTATGTTTTATTGTTTAATACGTTTGCCTGAGAAACGATGGCAGTTCTATGTCTCATTAGTGTCATGAATTTTATTTTTGATATCATTCTGTTTCATATGCCAAATATAAACCAGGCATTCATTTCCCGGTCTCATTGGAGTCTGCTAGATAAAGCACTGTAATTTATATTGCTCCTGCATGATATGCTTATGCATGAGCAAGAGGGACAGAATCATCAAAGTGACCATATAATATATGGAAAGTGCTGCAGAGTCATGAAATATTACTCGCAAAAACAAGCAGCATATTATGGCCCCAGCATGAGGTGCATGTTTTAATTCCAGAACAGTAATTCATTTCCATAAAAACAAAAACAATATGCTGATATTCTCATCTGTTATCACACGTGAAGGTCATTAATAAAGTGAGATTCCCCTTGAGATCTACACAAAACACAGATGCACACACACAGATGTAGAAATATGTGTCATTATGACTCTGCGATATAATACAATATTTTAACAAAAGCAAAAAAAAATGCCTTTATTTCTTTTTGTGAAATAAAAAAATCCTCTCTGTCAAATCTATATAAAAAAAAATTATGAACCATTTTAATTGGCATACATGCGGATTGGGAGAACATGAGAAAGAGGGAGATGAATTGCTTTTGTGCTAGAAAAAGAAAAGAAAAAAGTAATAGCTAATTCTATTCCCTGCCGTGATGGTGATTTAGTGGGGGGGGGGGGTATTTGAACACAGGAGCCATTTGTTTAAGTTGCTGAATCATTTTTTGTGCTGTAAATTGTAATATACTTTATGGTATGCAGTTAAAATATGGTTGTGTTCAGTCTGAAACCTAAACAGCCAATTTCCAGCCCCCTGTGCCAGTAAGCAACTCAAAACTGTTTCACTATGCTACCTAATATTATATTAATAACATTTGGACACAAAGCAGTGATTACCTAAGCAGCCCAAAACAAAGGCAAAACCCAAAGCACAATACAATGCAGCTAGTAATACATTTTCCAATGATCTGCTGTAAAAGGGGCGCACTGGTCTGTGAAAAGAAGAAACAAATATTATCTCTGGTCCCTGCAAAATCAGCAGAACGGTGTTATTGATCTGGTTCCTCACATTGCCAATAGCATTTTAATTCCCCTTGGTGGCAAAGATGGGTTACTTGGGGTATTGATGTCATTATCATGATTTCAGTACAGCAAAAGGGTGGCCACCTGCAACTCCCTGGGTTTCAGAGCACGCCACAGGCTAAATTAGAAGTCTGCTTTCCAGATGTTAAAGGCAGTGACCGAAATTACCTTTTGACACAGCTTCGAATGGCTGGTGAAATGAAAAACAAAATGTATACGAATATATGATATCTAAAACATGATTTTGTTTTCATAAAAAAAAAATATAGTATAACCTTAGGTCCTACGTGTGATCAAAAAATGCACCATAAATTACACATTGAACTCATTATGATAATTTACTTTTTGGGAAAGATGCCTTGATGAGTATTTTGGGATTTTTCTGCTCTTCCAGGTCGAGAAATCATTAATGAGACCTTTGATGGCATTTTGGGTGCAAATTCAAGAGCCTCATCTAGCTACTCAGCATGTAGACCCATTCAAATCAATAAGTCGGGACATTTGAGTGCAACACACAGACTTTGTTTATCCCCTGCAAATGCACCCCACCAAACATATGTGGGGGGTAAATTCCAAAATCACATGAGGTCCCCATGCAGCTGTAGTCCAGTGTAGCTAAGGTTTTATTTCTTCTTAAGTTTTAATGAAAACAAAACGGAGGTGATGGTTTTTAACGGCACCCCTGGGACTCACTCCCCTCCTCACCTCGATCTAGGCCCCCTAGCTCAGTATGTCACGCCAACCATCACTGACCTAGGAGTCAAAATTGATGCCGATATGAAACTGGATAAACACGTTGGGTTAGTGGTTGAATCTAGTTTCTTTCAATTAAGACAGCTGGCTAAGTTGAAACCGATTCTTTCTAAGCATAATTTTGAGACCGTTATACATGCCTTTGTGACTACTAGACTAGATTACTGCAATGCACTTTTCGTTGGGATGAATGGATCGTCTCATGCCCTTCTCCAGATGGTGCAAAACGCTGCAGCTCGTCTTCTAACAGGAACACGTAAATATGAACACATCTCCCCAGTTCTACGCTCACTCCATTGGCTACCCATTCAATGTAGGATAGATTTTAAACTTCTTTTACTGACTTTTAAATCTTTGAATGGCCTTGCCCCCCCTTATTTATCTGAGCTGCTTCATCCTTATACACCTACCCGTTCGCTCAGGTCAGTTGACAAACTTCTCCTGAGAGTGCCTAAAACCTGTCGCAAACTTAAACGGGACCGTGCTTTTGCGGTAGCAGCTCCGAAATTGTGGAATGCCCTTCCCTCTTACCATCAGACAGGCTTCCTCACTGTCTGATTTTAAAACTTGTCTTAAAACCTATCTCTTCCGTATGGCTTTTGACCTTTGAGGATGACACTTGTAACAGTATACATTATATGTATGTGATAACCTGTAAATTGATTTTTTTTTTTATCTCTGTAAAGCACTTTGTGAAACTTCTGGATTGCTGTTAAAGTGCTCTATAAATAAATTTTGATTGATTGATTGATGGTTTTATATGTTCATGGACATTTAATTTCATTCACAATTTCATTTTAATAATTGCAGGAGAGCAGTTATATTTATAACAACACCACACACACACTAGCCATTTGGGATTTGATATGATCAAAACTAGCAGGTACAGTTGTTAAAGAACAGATGAAGCACCAAACTCTGTGTAACTGTGTAACTGCAAGATTCATTCAGAAATCCGGGAATGTAATTTATAAGAACATGAGTCAGGAACATTTGTTTTTGCATTTTTCAGGAGCCTGTGCTGCGCTTGTATACAGTGTTACAACATGTATGTTAGCATGGATGTGTTTGGGCACAAGAGACATTTCTGCTAATTTAATTTTTTTCCTTTTTCTTTTTATTCAGATGCAACAATCGGACCCAGTGCATTGTGATCACAGGTTCAGATGTCTTCCCTGACCCCTGCCCAGGGACCTACAAGTACCTGGAGGTCCAGTATGAGTGTGTGCCCTACAGTAAGTATGACTGTTCTGTCATGAATTGAAAACCTTTCCTCTTCCCTTCCTCCCCCATCCTCAGTTTGTCTCTTCTTCTCTGCCATCTCTCTCTCATCTGTGTCATACCATATCCTGTCCCATTTCTTCCTCCTGCCTTGTCCAGACAGTATGCTCTCTTCGTGTACAATGCCCTCCAGCAACCTTTTCCTCTGTCTCTTCTTCCATCCGTGTCACACCATGAACTTTTCATGAAATATGACCTGTAAAAACCTTTGGTCCTCTTCTGTACAGCCTTTATTATTGATGTGCTCACCGTGTTTCCAGCGGATCGACGAGCCTGGTTATGAGGTAGCAGAATAGAGGGAGGGTAGAGGAAGTCATGCTGACTCTCCATGATGGCAAGCAAGTGTTTCATTACTCAAGTCTTGTGCGGAAAAGTGTATCAGGCGCACAGCTCACCTTGATGGCTTAATATACATCCACACAACAGGTGTTGAAATATGTTAACAGATGTTTCATTATGTAACAGAACAGAATGGCCCCACTTGTAAGTCAACAAGGTAATATTTCATCTAAAGAGATAGTGTTAACATTTTTGTCTGCTCCTTGGATCCTGAAATATTCATTGCCATTCAGCTACCAAACAATGTTTAGATTGCCCTTTGTCCTTTAAGCTTGCCGTGTTCATTTGCAATTTGTGTGAAGAAAATTCCCCCATGTAACCTTTACAAAGTGATTAATGACAAAGATTTAGATGAATTGCCAGAATCACTAATCAGGTGGAACTGAAATAAAAAGAGTAGGAGTGATGGGCAGAAACTATTTGACAGCTTTTGTTGATTCAAATTAGGATTTTCTTCAATTATTCTACTTTCAGTTTTGAATCAACTGAAATTTGTTGGGAAATTTACCCCACATATGAATACTGCACCTTTATTCTGCCATACTTTTTTATATATATAACACAGTTCTTCTTCTACATTGCTCATAATAAGTATACCTGTCCAAGCTGTTCCCCTCAGTGTTGAATCAGAATGCATTAGTGAACATCATTAGGTGGTAAAACTCATTACAACTTAAAGGTTAACCTCCCCAAGGCTTTGTGGACCTGTAGTTAAAAATAGAATAAGCAATAATGAGTAGTTGAGTCCACATTATTGAGCCAAGCCAAATCCTGTAGTTTTTACCTTAAACGCCTAACTGCTTGGGTTTTTTTGGGTTGTTTTTTACTTGCCTCATAGTTAAGTGAAGTATTGATCCTATGTCTTGCTGTGTTACCTCAAACCTTAATAGTAGGATTAGCCTCAAGGTGCACTCATGTCCACCCACTGTTATGATTGTCTTTTGCCTGTTTCTTGCACCAAGGTAACAGTCAAGACCGCTGTAGTGTGGTGAAAAATAAACCTCTGCCCAAGGACTCTCAGTCTTGGCAAAGTCTGTCAAAAATCCCAAACAGGTCCTCACTGCACTCTATGCAGTTTCAAACATGCATGTCTGTAGCCCCGTCTTTTTGCTTCTCAAGGTCCATGCCCAACCAGAATAGGACCAAGAACACAGAATGTATCCTATCGCAACTGCCCTGGTAAGTGCTTAGTGTTCTCCCAGTCTGATCCAGTCCAAACGCGAGCCCAGTCCAACCTTTCCCACTCAAGCCCTGTTGTAAACTGTGATAGATTGTGATTTACAGGCAAGTTCTGTGTTATGTTTCTTCCCTCCTACCAGTCCTCTTTCTCCTTTCCCCCAAAATAAAATCCATATACCCCAGATAATTTTGGAGAGTCAGACTAACACAGAGAAAGGCAATCATAGGGGAAGATTTACTGAGCTTTTCCACACCAGAGTAAACCCTCACTTCTGTTTTCAGATGGCATAGCAAAGACCTTACTCCAGTTTGACAGTTTTCAGATGGAATAGATCATATGCCAAACACCAAGATTTGTGATTAAATACATTACAGTGGTTCAGGAGCTTAGGAGCCCTGGATTTGCTGGGATACAAGACTTGAGAAGTTGTTTTGCAAGAAAACGTATTAAATCCTCATTAAGCTGATCAACGACGGGACCACTGACAGAGTCCTCATTTTGACTGCTGCCCCTGAAAGTCTATCTGTCCCATGAAATATGACCAGCAGTTTAATAAAATAATAAACAGTTGTTTATTCTCTCCCTCCCTCCATGAATGTAATGGAAAGCCTTTGCAGTCACACAAGCAATTTTGGATTTTTCTCTTCTGTGCAATTGGCCTTTCCACCAAGCCTACATGTCCACAGTTTCCATCCTTTTGGCTTCATAATTTGGTTCTTGTCATGATCTGCCCTCATTAGCAACATTATCTTCATGTTCAAGGATATAAATTTTTCCTTCACCAGGCACTGAATTGCCCTCTGAATCGGCTCTAGTAATTGTTTGAATTGCTCCGTGCAAGCTATTTTGAAATGGAAAAAATTCCATTCTACCCTTGCAAAACTGTAGAGTCATGCCAGTGGGCATAAACAGTCCTCATTGCTAATATTTTCATTTTTCATCACATTCTAAAGCCAGTAAACCCTCAGCTCCATGTGACAGTGACGGCCAGATAATGAAAATTAAAGTTAAGCTGCATAATTTTCGGGTGCCCTTTGGTGTTTTTGTTTCTGTATACAGCCCCCCCTCCCTCCCCAACCCCCTTATTTGTGATTTACATGATGCTTTAATTTAGATTAAACACTAGAGCCACTAACTGAGTCTGCAGTTGACAGCAGACATCCATCCATATCTAGATGCAACATCTGATTATTAACAGTGATTAATAGTCATTATAATTTGATTAGTGACAGTTCATAAAAAACAGGGATACCTTAAAGTCTTTAATGTGTATTGGTGAAAGTATAGGGTCTTTGGGTTTACTGTGGGTTGGGATGTTTCTCATGTCTGTTTGTTTTAATGTTGCTATATTAAAAGTGACTGACTCTCTTCCCTTCCCCTGTGCAATCTGCAGGAAACCTCCTCGGCTATCAGATTCACTCTCTTCATCCACTGACCGATTTCTGATCACACTGATTGCTTTGTTTCTTTTTTTTAACATTTCTACTAACATCATCAGGTCTTCCGTCTTGTGTTCACCTTTTCTTTCCAGGCTTTCTTCATGCCATCTCTCTCTGTCCTTTTCTGGCCTCCTCTGTTTTATGTGGCTGAGGCAGCTTCTGGGAACTCAACTGCTTCCAGTCTGTGTTTGATCTCTTTGTTAGCTACAACACACTTGAATTTCTTCTTCAGAATGGCGTGCATTCATTTACGGATCCTTCTCAATCTTTGGTTTTCACTGGGGTTTTTTAGCCACTGAAGTCTAGGTCAGACTTAACAATTGCAACAGATTCAAATTCTAATGAACATGTACTAATTTGAGCCAGAGGGTTGAAGGATTCAAGGGGAACTCAATTTATGGTGGGTAACATTATCCCACAGTGCAAACTGGCCCAAAATGTGTACAATTAGTATTTCAGCGTTGATCCTTCTAGGCCTTCTGTGGTTGAGCCTTTGTATTGTGAATCCATCCAAGACTGAAATCTGAGGAAGACACAGCCAAAAACCAATAGAGGTGTAGATCAAGGGCAAAATAACTGACGCATGCAGTCTGTACCAGTTAACCCTTTTGTTAACAATAAAATTTAAACAGTATGGTTGAAAGATGAATAGCAATGTGCCTGAATCAGTCCACATTAGTAGAAATTACTTTCAGTCAAAGAGGTTTCATAATAATGAAATTAGATAAACTACATTTTCTGTTAAATATAAACTTTTAACCATATAATAAGAAGTGGTTGAGCATTATTTTTTTATAATTTTATAATTTTCTGTACACATAGAAAGAGGTCAAATGTCTTTGACTGACTGAATCAAACTTCTGTGATGCCCATCTTTGTCCCCTCACATTTAGTGGCTGGCTAATTGAACAGCAAGTTAAGCTGAACTGTCCCATTTAGAAAAGAAATAACTTGAACTTCAGACCTAGACTTCAGACTAACCTGAGAAACTTATTTTCTGAAGAATGTTAACTATTCATAAATAATTTTCTAGAAATTTTCAGTCTTGTTGTTGAAGTTAAAAATAAGCTGGCGATTTTCATGCAATGCATGCAACACATGCTTATGTCTTATGATATGTTTTATAAATCAGTCATTGACATTACAGATTAATGGACTGGGTAATGCTTCTTAACACAGTTGCCTTCAGAGTGCCTTGTCTAAATGTGCCCATGTTGGCTAATTTATACCGGACTTGTATTTGAAAGCACAAAATAACTCAACAAAGTAAGCAGTGTTGTACTGTGGAATTAAATACATGTTTCAACAGTGAGTGCACATAAGCTATATTAATGTACTTTGCCCGACTGATTACCTTCTTTGTTGATAAGGCCACAATTAGTTAGTTTTTTTCTGTGCACATATGGCTTCATAATTGTAAAAGTGGTAAAGTAAGATTAGAGTGTTGTGCAGAGACTTTTCTAAGTATTAGTCAGGTGTTACATTGTCCAGAATAGTAAAATGGCATCTTTATTATAACTTAATAAATGATACTTTTTCATTTTGATTGGAATCCGAATGAGGCTTGGTTTACGGTGGTGGGTGGATTAGAACAGACCACAGATTGAAAGCAACTTGATTTGGTTTTTCAACAAAACCAGAGCCATGTGAAGTAAATTATAATTAACATGAATTTGTATTAAACTATAATCATTTCTACAGTATTCATAAAAATGTTTTCTTGACTTTTCAACATGAATCCCAGAATTGCTTGCCTATGTATCAAACAAAAATCAAAGATCAGAAGATGACCCTGATTAAAGTTTTGCCTTTAGTGAAAACATGACACTTCTCAATCTGTCAAACATAAAATCCATCCATCACTGTGCTAGCAATTGTTTTGATTGGTCATGATCACAAATGTGAACAGACCATTCTCAGTGTTCTAATCCAATCCTTTTTCTAAGACAGAACCTTGGCAGCTGTGTGTCGCCTTTCTCACAACTTCCCTGCTTTCTTTTAATAGGTCTACCAGTCTTTGTCCATGTCTCATAACGTGTTTCTGCATATGTGATCGTAGAGATGACAGTTAATTCATATTGATCTCTTTTTTTCCCCTTGCACCCCTTTCATTCTCTCTTCCAACGCTTAAAATAGAAGTGGAGCAAAAAGGTAAATAACAGACACGACCCAAATCCTAGCTCCTTGTTTTGTGGCATCTGGTTGTAAACTACCTATTTTCCCATGGTGGCCCCTACAAACTCATTGCAGACATTATCTCCAGAATCCCCTAACTGTAATGTTAACGGCCAATGTAGTGCAACAAGGGAAGTGAGGCTGACCATAAAAAGAGACAGCACACAGGCAGCCAAAAGATGTAAATGGGGGTGTATTGGCTGCAGTCCATAGGGGCTTCCTCTCCTCATTGTCCCTGGGTGCTTTTGCTACTCAGCAGAATCTCATATTGCCTGGCTTCCAAACCCTTTTCCATAGCATGCCATGGTAACAGTGTTTCTTGCCCCCTTTTTTCAAGCAATTGCTTTCTACTGTCCCTTTTCTCTCCGAGCCCCCCTCTTTCTCACTTTTCTCCCCATTATTCTCACCTGACCACTTGCTGCTCTTTTCTCTGTTGATTCTTATGCCTCCTATACCTCAGAGCAACAACCAAAACACCTCAAGAGACCCTTAATGACAGTTTATTTTTTTTAAATCTTAATGGTTGTGACATTTGCACCACTTTGTAATGACAAGCCTCTCAGGTATATACCGTAGAAAAGATGGTGTAATTGAGACACACCTAAGTACACACAAACAATTTGCAGACTCTGCTGACTCCTGCTCTCTCATAACCTCTCCCGTCTATTGCCAAGTGACTTTAGTTGGCTGCATTTTATTTGTGTTTACAGGACCAATTGTTTTGTTAAGTTTTGTTTCTGTTCTATTCCCCCTCATTTGTGTTCTACTCCCAACAGTTAATGTCTATGAGGCCAAGCTTCTTTTTGTTTCAGACTACATTATATATTTAAAAATTATGCTTAATAACTTTCCTATTCCTTTTTTCTTTCTATGCACAAAACCAAAATCCTTATACTGCTTGTGAATATTGGCTATAGCTGTTAGTTGTGTTTTGGCCACTCGTTAATGTGTGTCTGTCCCCACGTCTCGTGGACAACCCATAAAACAAAATCAAGGCATTAGAGATTATATGGATGTTACATATGGTTTTGTATGGTTTTATTTTTCACTTGTTAACCTGTGTCTGTTTCTTATTCTACTCTTCTCCCATTACTAGTTTTTCTTTGTCCTGGGACTCTGAAAGCTGTCGGTGATCCTTCCTTTCTATTTGAAGCGGAGCAACAAGCTGGCGCCTGGTGCAAAGATCCACTGCAAGCCGGCGACAAAATCTACTTCATGCCTTGGACTCCTTATCGGACAGACACTCTCATTGAGTATTCCTCCCTGGATGACTTCCAAAATGCCCGACAAACCATTACCTATAAGCTGCCCCACCGGGTGGATGGGACTGGATTTGTGGTGTATGATGGGGCCGTGTTTTTCAACAAGGAGCGTACCCGCAACATTGTGAAGTTTGACCTGCGGACTCGAATCAAAAGTGGTGAGGCAATCATCAATAATGCGAACTACCACGACACGTCGCCCTACAAGTGGGGTGGTAAAACAGACATTGACCTGGCAGTAGATGAAAATGGGCTATGGGTGATCTACGCCACAGAGCAGAACAACGGTATGATGGTAATCAGCCAGTTGAACCCCTACACACTACGTTTTGAGGCAACCTGGGACACAACCTATGATAAGCGCTCAGCCTCCAATGCCTTCATGGTTTGCGGAGTACTCTATGTGGTCCGCTCCACCTATGAGGACAATGAAAGTGAGGTCAGCAAGAGCCTGATTGATTACGTTTACAATACCAAACAGAACCGTGGGGAATACGTTGATATCCACTTTCCCAACCAGTACCAGTACATTGCAGCTGTGGATTACAATCCGCGAGATAACCAGCTATATGTGTGGAATAATTTTTACATCCTGAGATACAATCTGGAGTTTGGCCCACCTGATCCAGCTCATGGTAAGAACCCAGCCCCTCAATCATTTCTTTTGCACACAATATTGTTAAATTGCATTGCTGAAATCGTGATTTTAGTTGCTGTCAAGTGCGCTATTCCTTTGGTATTTCCCACATATGTATCAAGTGTCACAGCTGACTGATTTTTAATTTAGAATCTAATATGTGCTAGATATGTTACGGAAGCTTTGGAGTCTAGGAAAGCATCTCAGGGGGTAAGGTGAGTTGGGCTCTGTGGTAAACAACACCTCGAAGCCAGTTACCATATCATAAGGGATCAGTATCTAGGGGATTTGGGAAGGTTTACCATCCGGGCGTTCCCTGAGTCCCTGGTGCTAAGACTCAAGGGACCCCTGCCAGCATATCCCTTTTTTTAAAGAGAGTAAGACAGGGAGAGAGGAAGATATATTTTCACCTCTGGAAACATACATGCCCGGACAGGTGCAAAGTCTGGCCTGGGGCAAGGTTAGATCATTCCCCAAGTGATGCTCAAAACTCCAAATCTCCATCGGCCATTAAAATAAAATACTTCACACTCTGTAGGCAGAGTGTAAGGATTCACGGTTCTGCCTAAGAGGGAAAGAGATGGTAGACACAAGGACACAAGGGAGAGGGATCAATCATCCGGGGTCACATCAGCAGCGTATGTTTTTAATTTAGCTGTCAAGAGCTGAGGGGAGGCTAGCCTAGGCCTGTGATAGTCCTTACATTGAGAATATAATAACAGTAATTATCCTAATCCCCTCCACACCCAGAATCCTAAATCCACATAATGCTCAATGCAGTCAGTGATGAGCCACAGAGGTCAAGCAATTTTTCCACAGATTATCCGAGAGCTCAGTATTTATTAATGCTTTTGCTCGTCCACTTTTGTATTGATAGGACATGGGCTAGGGGTGCTAAATTGGGTTCAGCCAATGGAACAGCATCAGTCTAAGCCAGACGAAGGCAAGCTTCACCGTAATAAAGAACATAGTCCAGGTTGGAAACCAAAATTAAGATGAAGAGGAGGCATTGAGTGAAAATGTATATTTATATTTTTTCTAACTGTAAATAACATGTTAGTTTCTAAGTTTCTAAACTGCCAATACATATACAGACATATACTAAATATTTGCATATTACAAGTACATTTAGAGCAGCTCAGGAATGTGCTAGAATCAATCCTAATTTTAGTCATGGATAATGTCACACAGTCATACAGAGAATTCAAATGAGCTGATTTAAAGCAGTGCCTTGCATTTGCAGACAGCTGCTTTAAAAGGTGGTCATAATAGCACCTGTTCTTTAAATTGGAGCATGTCTTTACATGCCATGATGTGTTTATATACAGTCAACTGATTACAGTCAAGCAACAGCCTCCACAACAGCCTTTATTTTCAGCTTAGCCGTTATGGATTCTTGGAATAAGCTGTGTATAGACAGGCTGCACACTCAATTGATTTATTCATTTTCTGAATGGACACTGATTACTGACAGAGAAATAATCAGAGGCTTTAACTGGATTCACCCTGAAATAAGACTACTTTGTGGTATTTGTGTGTGTGTGTGTTGTGCATGTGCATGTGTGTGTATGTGTATGTGAGAGAAACATACTTATTGTTTATTCAGACAGTCAGATCTCCCAAGCACCCAAAAGAACTCACTTCCCCTTCGGTAGATTGTGTTAAGAAACATATACTTCCCGACATACTGTGTTTGCTCCGCAGTGCTTCTGTATTCTCACATCTTTATTTTAATGTCAACGAGGACACTGTTCTTTCTTCTTGACAAATGAGACATGTGCCTGGCCCTGCCGCTGACTAATATATGTTGAGTTGCAGTCGATGAGTGCAAGGGAGAATGGTCCAGGATGATCATCAAGATGTCAATAAACTTGTCCTCCCACATGGCTGATGTTGACACATAAATGATGGCACTTTTTTCTGGCTGTCACCGAATGCCCTCTCTGTGATATCTTTATGCTTGTTTCTATGCCTGTTTCACTAGGCATTGAAACAAGCTATCGGAATGCTTTTGTGGTGTTAAAAGTTGAAGGTACGAGTGTTTTGAGCTTTTTGAAAAAAAAACTACTGGAAAGCTTTGCTCAAATCATCCCAAACACACATGTGGAAGCTAATCACAAGCTTGTGTATAACAGAGCATTGCTTATTTATTAATATAGACACTACTGGGATTGACTTCTTCTAGAGAATTTCAAAGCATGTACAGAGAATGAGTCAACGACATTATTGCGGGGGGTGAGATTGATACTTTATGCATTTGACACTGTACACTGTGTCCTACTCCCTCTTTTCCCAAATTTCAAGTGCACAAACAACTCTGTCACATGATTCGCTCTGTCATAGAATGCAATCACATCAAAGTGATGTTGAGACCCTGCGTGGCAGACAGTTGGGTTCTTGTCAAGTCCAATAACATTGCTCGTGTTGAGGCAAGATCATCTCTTGTAGGATTATGGGGGAGTGGATGGGGTCACATCCAACAAGCGGCTCCACTGAAAGTGGACATTAAATGGGTCAGTAAGTCTCTCTCTTGGCTTTGACCAGCAACGCCATAATCCATTAATTTAACCATGGCTCCATGCCAGTTTTCCTTCTTGCATATAGGAGCTCATAAAAAGACATTTTCCTTTGTTGGACCTTGTGAGTAAGATGATTAAATTGATTTAAATGAGGTATTCCCAGAGAAAACTCATTATGTACCCATTTCTATGGATCGTTTATTCATGCCAAGCTCCGATATGTGGCCTCAAACCACTGAGTAAGCATATCAGAAGCTATTTTTTACTAGAAGTATGCACAAACAGTCTCTATTTGCTGCGTCAATGGGACACAGGTGAGCCTCGGAAACCTTTTATTTATCCCTTGTCGCAAAATTAGATTCTGAATCACTTCCGTATAAAAGCCCCCGGCGCTGCAGTTAACACCCACACAAATCAAGACCTCCTCTTTAATTGTTCGAATGTCAATACATTTGCATACAGTTTCAATTTTTGCTGCACCCTCAAATTATGCATTTGCAAGTGGGGATCGTAAGGAAGAGAATGACCCAATTTGTTTGAAATTATGGCTCGCATATGCAACTTGCCAATTAGCTTACAAAACTCTGCATGTGGTCAAAACAATGCCCTGTCGTTTGTATGTTATGAAAGTGCTTTGCAATGCAAAAATGCTCAGCTGTTACAGATGCTTGTGAGTCATAGGCATTAGCAGTCACCCCAGAGAGCCCACTTCTTATAGGCTGATGAATACATAGCTCTAATAAGCACCACTATGATTCATTCCTGTCTTCTGAAGTGCTTACAAAGAGGTCAACTATGCATGTCAACATTTAGAGAGAAAGCAGGGAAAGCAGAGAGATGTATAGATACTTTAAACGTCAACATCAAGCTTTCACAGCTATCTGAGGTGCTGTTTTAAAATGGCAGACACTTCTGTCTCCTACATGCTCACCAGTGGTGCAGTAGCAGGGATCAGGATGTGTTAAAAACGGCCAATTTGTTTGTTTGCCTTGACGACAACAACCCCACCCCCCACCCCCCCACCCCTCCCCAACCCCTCCCCAACCCCTCCCCAACCCTCTGTCAGCTGCCCAAGTGGACACAGCGGTGTGAAGAGAGAAGATATTGATGTGGAAAATCACCCTTTTTGTTTTTGTTTTTCTGTCCTCCTGTCATATTCTCGATCTTGTTGTTTCTTTCTCTGTCTGCTTCCATCTTTTTGTCTCTCTCTTTCATTTAATCTCTTTTCATCTCTCTATTGAGTTCACTTCGTATTTTATTTTTCTTGTACCTTTCTTCTGCCTGTAGACTCCCATTGTTTGTCTTAGTCCTCCTCCATGATCACCCATGAACTGTGACCTACATCTGGATATTTGCATGCATACACATACTGTGTATGCGTATGTTTGGCTTCTCTCCTGAAGTCAGGCTAAAGCCTAATTCAGACTGTTCACATCATGCCCAATGACAGTAGTGCACACTAAATGACAGGATTTAAGTAAATCCTTAGCTGTGCCTTTTGGGAAACTGTACACACACAACAACAGGACAAAGACTTCCATCATGCACATTTTAATTTGTCCAGACTTTTTGCCAAGTGAAGCTGGGAACTCCTACTGATGGAAACTTGCTATTTGAGAGAAAGTTGTTAGAAACAACTTCTCGCTGGCTCTTTCTCAACTTCATTCCTGTCCACCTGAACTCCTGTTGGTTGTTTTCAGGATCACACCGATGTTGGCTGTCTACACAAGCCTGACTAGCCAGGATCAGACCAAATCAAACACCTCACTGTACACAACAATCTGCAGAAAACAGCCCAGGATCTGTGTAAAAACCCGCTAAAGGGACATGTATGTGTGTTGGTAGCTGTGACAGGTTAATTCAACAAGCCCCTTATTTTGTTATAGTCCCTAAATCCCAGATTTTTTCCTGCTTACTGATGATATTTTGACCTTTATTCTGTGTAAGCTGGGAAGAATTTCTGGGATGTTAGGGTACTTTGGAGTGTATCTTTAGCTAAATACCTCCTTCCATACTGCCAGACTGCAGGATCTCCCTATATGCCAGCTTCCATTCTTTATTCCTCCCTTGTAGCCTTTTTTAACCACCGTTTTATGACACACCGTGACGTTATTCTGTCTACATCGTGACCCACTGGTCTCATTCTTGATTACGATGTAGGGGTGAATTTAACTGGGACGATAAAAGGGGGGAAATCCCATGATGGGGATTTACAGTCTTGTTCACAATGTCTCTGACATTACATCCTGGCATAATACATAACCACCCGGTGTCTGGTGGCAGTAAAGGCTTTTCAGCACATGAGGTCAGGAGGTCACCTGTTTCATCTGAAATCTGATCATGATCTCAGTCGCTCATACAGCACTGAATGTCATCAGACATAAGGGCCACTTGTTGCCAGACAAGGAAGAACATTTCACCTCTTATCCAAAAACGCACCTCAAGATAATATTTTCTCATATTCCTAGCCAGTTCCCAC